AACTGGGGACATCGGCCTTGTGGGACGAACGAGAGCGCCACGATACGCGCCGTCGCCGCAAATGCCGCTGCCGCACCGTTCAAAGGGCGCTGCTTTGCGTGCAATCGGCCGGGACATCGCAAGAGCGAATGCCCGGAAAACGCTAAGGGAAAGGGGGAAGTTGAGCAGCAGACACAGACCAAGCAGCAGGGAAACGTTGGAAGTCAGTAGCAGACGGGCCCTCTACTGACAGGTCACGCTGCTCGCCCGACCCAACCGACCCTCACCGAGTGATTGTGCCGGTTCACGCAATCGACCACACCCGGCCGAATAAGGAGGGTACCACGGTAGACAGCCCTATACTGCTCAGTGGGAAAATTGGGACGGACTTAGTTAAAATCTTCGTAGACGGGGGAGCCAGCCACAGCCTCATTAACACTGCTACAGCACGAAAACTGCGACTGCCACTGGAAAGATGCTTACCTCAGATCGACGCACGACTGGTAGACGGCACGCCGCTGGCAATACGGGAACGCGTAGACCGAGTTCGGATTCGATGCGGGGGTAACTTCACGTTTAGCCAGGAAATGCTCGCAACGACCCTCGACGGAACCGACATTTTACTCGGGCGTGATTGGCTGCGACGACACAATCCGCGAATTGACTGGACGACGGGTGACTGCACCGTGCGAGTGAACGGTAACAACATCGCCTTACCTCGCTGGGGCTCGCCTGAGTCTTCGTCGGTGCGTGTCAATGCGATCACGATGAAACGCGCTGTAGCGGCCGGAGCTGACGTGTACGCGGTTGACATTCGGGAAGCCTAGGCAGCAGACAAGGGAGGAGATTTACAGAAACTGCTGACCGACGTACCGGGTGATCTGGCGGCACTGTTAACACGGTACAGTGACATTTTCCCGGACGACCTACCGACGGGACTGCCACCTCAGCGACCGCACGATCACAGGATAGAACTGGAACCGGGGGCACAGCCAACAGTACAGCGACAGTTCCGTCTGACCCAACCTGAACTAGACGAACTGAGGAAGCAGCTCGATTACCTGCTCGAGAAGGAATTCATTCGCCCTAGTTCGTCGCCCTTCGCCGCACCCATACTGTTCACACCGAAAAAGGACGGGAATTTTCGCATGTGCATCGACTACAGGGCACTGAACAGGGTTACCATCAAATCCCGTTACCCCATCCCACGAGCCGACGAACTGATCGACCAACTGCGCACAGCCCGGGTTTTCTCGAAAATTGACCTCCGGGGAGGCTACCATCAAATCCGCGTCAACCCATCCGACTGCCCTAAAACCGCATTCCGAACACGCTACGGATCCTTCGAATACACCGTCATGCCATTCGGACTGACCAACGCCCCCGCCACCTTCCAAATGACCATGAACGAAGCATTTCGCCCGCTTTTAGATAAATGCGTCATCGTTTATCTGGACGACATACTGATTTACAGCCCTGACAGAGCACAACACTTACAAGACATTGAAGCAGTTTTAAAATCCTAAGTGAGAACCGCCTACTGACCAAAGCATCTAAGTGTGAGTTTTTACAGGACCGCCTGGAGTTTTTGGGACATGTTATTTCAGCTGCGGGAGTGGAAATAGACCCGAAGAAAATTGCGACGATTCAGGCGTGGCACGCGCCGACCAACCTGACCGAGTTGCAGAGTTTCCTGGGGTTCGTCAACTACGTGCGCCGGTTCGTCCCCGACATGGCAAAGCTGACTGCCCCGTTGACTGACCTGCTGAGGAAGGGGGTTGAGTACACGTGGGGGGAGAAAGAGCAAGCTGCCTTCTCGGCCCTCAAAAATATTTTGTGCTCCCCGCCCGTCCTTCACATTACAGATCCCCACCGTCCGTTCGAGCTCGTCACCGACGCAAGTGACATCGCTGTGGGAGCAGTACTGTTGCAGGACTTCGGGAACGGCCTCCAGCCAATCGCGTACGAGTCCCGCAAGTTACACCCGCCCGAACGCAACTACCCGATACACGACCGCGAAATGCTGGCGATCGTGCCCGCGTTCAAAGTTTGGCGGTGTTACCTGACTGGCGCCGACGTGACAGTACGGACAGACCACCGCTCGCTACAGTACCTTCGCGCCCAACCGAATCTCAACCCACGACAGATTCGCTGGTTGGACTATCTTGAGTCCAATTTTCACTACACCGTTACGTACAAAAAAGGCGCATCCAACATCGCCGACGCTCTCACCCGCCCCACCGCCCAACTCCACGCCATCCTACTCGCCCAGACCAACCCGCTTTTAACTGGCCTATTCACCCACGGATACCGCATCGACCCATTCTTCACGACCGGAAATTCACAGCAACTAGCAGAAGCAAAAGGAGTTTATTATGTAAAAACAGGCACCAACCGCATTTGGGTACCAGCGTACTCACTACTGAGGGAGCTGCTACTACAGGAGGCACACGACGGGATTACCTCGGGACATTTCGGGGTAGAAAAAACACGACAGCAACTGCAGCGGTATTATTACTGGTCGGAGCTGTTGACCGACGTACAGCAGCACGTGGGCTCGTGCCCTACGTGTCAGGTGATGAAGAGTTCAAGGAAGCGGAAGGCGGGTCAATTGCAGCCGATCCCACCGCCCGAACGCGCCTGGCAGCAAGTAACCATGGACTTCGTCACAGGGTTACCTTCGAACCCTGGGGGTAACGACGCGGTGATGGTCGTCGTGGATAAGCTGACGAAGATGGCACACTTCGCTGCGTGCAAAAAGTCGATCTCAGCCGAGGAGACCGCTCGCCTGTTCATCGCAGCCGTTGTTCGCCTGCACGGGATACCAGCAGCAATTATCAGCGACAGGGACACGAAGTTTACCAGCAACTTGTGGAAGAACCTCTGGGAGCAGTTCGGGACCAGGCTACAGTTCAGTTCGTCGTACCACCCCGAGACCGACGGCCAAACGGAGTGGACGAATCAGACGATGGAGCAGTTGATTCGTGCCACGTGCGACGACCCCACGACCTGGGAGCAGCAGCTGCCGCTGATCGAGTTCGCGTACAACAACGCCACATCAGCCACGACGCAGCAGTCCCCGTTCTACCTGAACTATGGGCAAAACCCCACAGTGCCCATGACGCCGAGTCCGGACAACCCAACGCCACGTGCACAACAATTCGCCGAAGTCCTGCAAGCTGCCCGCGCCAGAGCCGCCGAAGCAATAAAAAAGGCCAACGTCATCGCTAAGCGCAACGCTGATCGCCACCGCCGCCCTGTCACGTACCAATCTGGAGATTACGTGCTGCTCGACATGCAAAATCTGCGACTGCCCGACGTACCGAAATTACGACCGCGCTACTGTGGACCATTCCAAATCAGTCACATGATCACACCCGTCACCGCACACCTACTGTTGCCAACCGACTGGTACATCAGCCCTTCGTTCCACGTCAGCCTACTTCGCCCATACATCCCGACCACAAGTCAACTGCCGCGTCACCGCCCACAATCAATGACTCGCCCTGCATCGGAGCCGATCATCGAGCCCGAAAAAATCCTGAGCCATCGGATCCGCCACCCCACGGGAATCAGGAGGATTGAATTCCTTGTTCGCTGGAAGGACCGCACGCCAACTGAAGACAGCTGGGTGCCCCTGACCAACATCGAAAACCACCCTGCCCTGCAAGTGTACCTGAGGAGCCGGGGATTCCGCGATATACACGCACTCGCGTAGCGAAGGGGGCTTCTTAAGGGGGGGGGTAGTGTAAGGAATTTTCTCGGCATTCCTTACGGAGCCGACTACATCGCGTACAGCAACAGCCGATTGTTCGCCCGTTACTGCTAACGGAACTTCGTCGACTTCGCGCGCACTGTTTTGCCAAACCTCGCACTGCTGGCATGGCCGTATCGGCCTACGCTTCGGGACTAGCCCGAGCCTCGCTCCAGCGTAGCACTAGCAAGCTCGCACGCACCGCGTTACCGTTTTGCATGTTTCGCGTATAAATGTTCGCTCATGCCTTCGCTCACATTTTGTACTCGTTTGACACCTTAGTGCAATTCTCGCTACCTCGATTCATTGCACCCGTAACAGTAACCTAGCCAAGTACATGCGCTCAATGATTCAAACGAGAGCCACCCTCCAAATTAAAATAGTTGGCCAGAGCTTGTACCGCGTACGCCACATCCAGTCATTCTAAATTAAACGATCTAGTAGCCAGCATTGCGGTAACGATACTAGTTCCTCCGGCCGTTCCGCTCGCACGTGCGCGTCGGTCTCCCACCCCGCTCGCCCCTCATTCTCCCCGCGCTACCCGACGCGCCTCGCTCTTGCCCTCCTTCGTTTCCCCGCCTCCTCCGCGGCCGCTCCGCCTGCTTTTCCGCTTTCCAGTCGTTCGACCCGTCCGCGCGCCTCGCTCCTGGTCCCTCCTTTCACTCCCTCCTCCCAACCCCCCGCTCAGCCTGCTCCGCTTCCCCGCATGTCGACAAACCCGTCCGCGCGCCCGCTGCCGTGCTGAGATGCTGACTGGCGGGGTTGATGGCACGGGAAGCGCGGGGCGGAGGGGACGGTGAGAGGGTAGGTATTCCTCTCACTGGGGAAGAGGGGTGCTGGGAGAGGCGTAGGTGGGGGGCCGGAGAAGAGAGAAGGGAGACGGCTGAAGGGAGACGGGGGTCCGAGGCCTGGGCGAAAGAGTAACCCCCACTCCTGAGCTACTCGAAATTCGCCACCCTAGGGAGCGAAGGGTTTGTGAGGGCCCTGGAAGGGTGACCCTCGCACTTCACCCCCGCCCGCCCTCACGATACTGTCCGCTCCAGTGAGCGACAACCCCCTTCACTCCTCCCTGCCACACCCATGCCTGCCGCTCCCCCCACATACCCGCACACAGACATGACACGAGGGTTATGATCAGGCTATAAGGACTTGCTACTTCCCCCACGCATGCATCCTCTCTCTCCCTCTCCCCCACTTCCTCTCCGACGCACCCTGTCAGCAGGGCGCTGGTGAGGGGATTCAGGGCGCAGGGCACACGCGGGCTGCCATGGAGGGCTCAGCGGCGAGGCTGTCAGTGCAGGAGCAGCAAGGGGGGGAGGCAGCGCAGGCAGGGGCACGATCCCTGCAGCAGGCGGAGGAGGAGGCGAGACGGCAGGTGGACCCGTCTGTCTTCCTCATCCTCCTCAACTGCGCCTCACCAGGCGTCCCTGAGGAACAGGTGGGTGGGAGAGGGGCAGGCACTGGGTGGGTGGTTCAGGACTAGAGGGGGCAGGTGGGTGGCTGAGGAGAGGGTTTGTGGGTGGGGAGGAGCTGATGCATGGGCGGAGGAGGCGGAGGAGGAGGCGAGGCGGCAGGTTGACTCATCTGCCTTCCTCATTCTCCTCAACTGCGCCTCACCAGGCGTCCCTGAGGAACAGGTGGGTGGGTGGGCGGCAGGCACTAGTTGGTTAGATTGCACGCTAATGGCGGCGGGATAGATGCATGCGCGTCGCTGCGTGATTCATGGCTAACTGGGCAAAGTGCATTTGCATGCTCCTCGCCTGCTCGTCCCCTTTGCTGTTATTGTCAGAGTTCTTGAGGGAAATCCTAAAAGAACGCTGACAAAGAGGGGGGGGCTGTAATTGAGGCAAGGAGGAACAAGGTGTACATTTGTATATAGTCGAGAAAGCGGATTACGGGGTGTAGAAGCGATAGCAGGAAGTGGGTAGAGGTTGGGACGAACCCGTGGCTGGTTGGGAGAAGGGATGGCGAGCTTACGTGGCGGGAGGGGGTGAAAGGGGTTTGCTGGGATGCATGTGTTTGTTTCTTGCATGTGTGCAGACACCGAGTCCAGGGGGAGCTGGAAGTCACACCCGCCAGCTGGAGGAAGGCAGGATAACCGCAAGGGTGGCAAAGCTCGGCTGCTAGCACTCATCTGTTGGTAGCCATGCTTAGCTAGACTGGGGTGGGTGCAATATTAGAGGTTCCTGGGCCATGGGACTGCTACTGCGTGATTGTTTTCGCAATTTACTGTGATTTCTTCTCAAGATAAACAGTCTCTTAGCGAAGCCATATCCGCAGTCTGATGGATTAGGGGAGGGGCCTTCAGTACAATCACGTAGTCAAATGCGATTGCGGTCAGGAAGGTGGATAGAAGTAGTCAGAGCAACGCAAGGACAGGACGAGAGGATGATGGGAGGAGACGGGAATCAGCGGGAGAATAATCTGCCGCCAGGAGGCGGAGATGTAGAAGGCCAGACTGGGCCCAGTGAGGGAGCAACCGGCCCCAGGGGAGGTGCTCAGACCGGAAGTGCCGGCGGCGGAGGCAACGCGCCGACTGGATCGGAGGGAGCGCAGGGGCCGCAGGCGCGACCGCGGTCGCAAATGGGTGGACCGGTGGGATATCAGCGTAGCGCCTTGTGGCAAGGCACGGAGGACGAGGCGATGATGCAGCGCTGGAAATACACTTAGCTGCCGAAGATAAAAGTGCCGGAAAGATTCTCCGGCGATGCTCGACGAGGTCCGAGCCTGAAGAACTACATCATGCAGCTGGAAAACCTGCAAGTGCGATGGGCGAAGGATCAGCTGGACCCAGAGGAGTTCTTCCGAGGGCTGGCGAATACGCTGACCGGGGAGGCAGAGACCTATTACCGCATATCTCGCAAGGAGCTGTTGGAGTGGGCGGCGGGGCGGGCCCCGGGAGAAAGGGATCCTACGGCGAGGTTCCTAGCAATGTTACGAGAGCAATTTCCTGCGCAAACGGCGGAGCGAGTGGTCGAATTCCGGTCGTTCAGAAGGCGAGAAGGAGAATCGCTACTGGCATACTACGGGAGGCTGGTGGAATTGGGGGAGGACATGAACTGTGGAGACCAGGGACGACTGATCGGTGTCACGAAACATATTGGTAAGTTGCAGCATATTTCGTTCATAGCTATTTGCGGTGTAGGTGGTGTACAAGTTGTTATGCAGGGTATTGGAGTAGTAGTTGAGGACCTCGGGGGATCACGCAAAGTTGTTGACTCAGAAGATTGCGAAGCGCATGTTGGGAGAATTCGAGGCCTAGGGAGACAGGAAATCGGCGAGGGCCAACCAGAGCCCAGGCGACTCCAGTGCAAGCACAATGTCAGAATATTATCTTGTTGTTCTAGCCTGTAGTGGGGTGCTCTATAGCGAGTACAACCCTTCTAGGGTTTGCTATTTGTATCCTCATTCTTGCTAGTTCAATCCTCTTTCTTTCTTCAAACTTTGACATGCTATCAGAGCAGGTCGATCCTCTTGGATCGATCCTGTGGGTGTGTCCCCACCTTGCTTCCGCTGCTATTTTTTTTTCTTCCCGCCGTGCGCCCCGAGGCGCGCGGCGGTTTTCTGCCCGCCGTGCGCCCCGAGGCGCGCGGCGGTTTTCTGCCCGCCGTGCGCCCCGGGGCGCGCGGCGGTTCTTTGCCCGCTGTGCGCCCCGAGGCGCGCAGCGGGCGTCTGCTCTACGTCGCGGCCCCGCCCTTCGTCGCGGCCCCGCCCCTCGACGCGGCCCCGCCCTTGTCGCGGCCCCGCCCTGCGTCGCGGCCCCGCCCCTCGAAGCGGCCCTGCCCCGACCGTCGCGGCCCCGCCCCACCTTCGCGGGCGCCTGCCCTACTTCGCGGCCCCGTCCCGACCGACACGGCCCCGCCCTACAGCCGCGGCTCCGCCCTACGTCGCGGCCCCGCCCTGCGTCGCGGCCCCGTCCCTTCGAAGCGGCCCCGCCCTACGTCGCGGCCCTGCCCCGCTCGTCGCGGCCCCGCCCCTTGTCGCGGCCCCGCTCTCCTCTCAGGTCCGTCGTGGGCCCCACTCCCCCCCCCCCCCCCCCCTCCCCCTACCATTTCCCGTCGCCCGTCGTGGCGACCTGAGGGGGCCGCTTGCTGTGGGGTGGCGGGTATGGGGGTGCTCGGTGTGCCTTCCTCCCTTTTCTCCTCCTCCTCCTCCGTCTCCCACTGCTGCAGCTGTCGCTGAGGGGGGTGGTTGTGTGGGAGACTGGGTTTAGGGTTTAAGGGGGGTGCGTGGGAGTAGAGCTAGTGGTGTAGCAGTGGGTGTGTATCAGGGGGGTGGGACTGTGTGCGGGAGGATGAGCGGAGGTTGCCAGTTTGTCGTCAGCAGCACCTGTAGTCCGGGGCGCTGTCCCGGTAGCCCAGTCGTAGCCAGCTGTGCCAGCCGCCCGTGGGTCCGTTGCCCGTCCGCCGCTATTTGAGCCGCGGGGCCTGTTACTCCTGTAGTCCGGGCGCTGTCCGGTAGCCGCTGTGCCAGTCTGCCTCCTGTTGCCCGTGTGTCTGCAGCTTCAGCCGTCGCCTCCTGTCTCCTCTCCCCTCACTCTCCCTCCTCCTCACTTGCCCGTTGTGACTACCACTAGCTTTGCTTATAATTGTGAACTCTAAACTATTTCTTCTTGAACTTGTGCTCAGAATGTGTGGTGACATTGTGATCCACCCTGAGCTTGTTTTGCTTTGCCTGCTCTGCTGATTACACCCCACTTTGGCTATGGGGGTGTGTCAGAATATTATCTTATTGTTCTAGCCTGTAGTGGGGTGCTCTATAGCGAGTACAACCCTTCTAGGGTTTGCTATTTGTATCCTCATTCTTGCTAGTTCAATCCTCTTTCTTTCTTCAAACTTTGACACACAACCCTCTGAATAATTCGCGACAGGGGAAGCAAGTACTAGTAGTCTAGCCTAGCAGAGCCAGACCTGTTCTCTCGTTTGTTTACCAGTGCATAGTGGATATTACGTCACCGTTCTAAGCCCAGAGCAACCGGGGTGACAAGGCCACTCTTGGTAGCCATCAGTGGGAGCACGGATCTCTCACAAACGAGAGAAGAAAGCCGGCGATATGGATCGCCACGAGCTGCGCTGGCAGCGGACGTATTCACGGCGGGAACGTTCTCCGTCGCGAGGCAGGCGCTCAAGGGAGCGTGGGAGGTCGCCGAGGCGCTCGCCGTGGAGGGCGGCGTATCGCGCCGATCTGGTGACGCCATTGGGCGTACGAGCTTGAGGACGCGGGGCGGATCTGCACGTCAGATCAGAGCCGGGAAGGCGGCCTGCCACCAGCGATCCGTGGGATCTGGCAGGAGGCCGGCGCGGAAAGGGAGACGAGCGTCACCATGATGATGATGTGGACATGGATGCGCCGAGTGATAACGGCGAAGAAGAGCTCGACGGATCCCCCACTGCGCGGGGAGGCGGGAGGCGCGCTGGCGCCGATGGCGACGAATCCCCCACTGCGCGGGGAGGCGGGAGGCGCACTGGCGCCGATGGCGACGAATCCCCCACTGCGCGGGGAGGCGGGAGGCGCGCTGGCGCCGATGGCGACGAATCCCCTACTGCGCGGGGAGGCGGGAGGCGCGCTGGCGTCGACGGCGACGAATCCCCCACTGCGCGGGGAGGCGGGAGGCGCGCTGGCGCTGAGGGCAACAAATCCCCCACTGCGCGGGGAGGCGGGAGGCGCGCTGGCGCCGATGGCGACGAATCCCCTACTGCGCGGGGAGGCGGGAGGCGCGCTGGCGTCGACGGCGACGAATCCCCCACTGCGCGGGGAGGCGGGAGGCGCGCTGGCGCTAATGGCAACGAATCCCCCACTGCGCGGGGAGGCGGGAGGCGCGCTGGCGTCGACGGCGACGAATCTCCCACTGCGCGGGGAGGCGGGAGGCGCGCTGGCGCCGAGGGCGACGAATTCCCCACTGCGCGGGGAGGCGGGAGGCGCGCTGGCGCCGATGGCGACGAATCCCCCACTGCGCGGGGAGGCGGGAGGCGCGCTGGCGCCGATGGCGACGAATCCCCCACTGCGCGGGGAGGCGGGAGGCGCGCTGGCGCCGATGGCGACGAATCCCCCACTGCGCGGGGAGGGGGGAGGCGCGCTGGCGCCGATGGCGACGAATCCCCCACTGCGCGGGGAAGCGGGAGGCGCGCTGGCGCCGATGGTGACGAATCCCCCACTGCACGGGGAGGTGGGAGGCGCGCTGGCGCCGATGGCGACGAAACCCCCACTGCGCGGGGAGGCGGGAGGCCAGAGAAGGTCGACAGGGAAGTACCTGCAGCCGCATGGGGTGGTGGAACGCAAGGAGAAAGAGTGGGAGGAGGTGACGGACGGAGGCATCGCGAAGAAGCACGGACGGAGGAAAGAGGAGGGAGGAAGGGAGAACGCATACTTGCAGGACTATACGGGGAGGACGTGAAACACGGCTGGGAAAAGGAGGTTGAGCGCCAGGCCAAGGAGAGCCAAGGGAGAGAAAGGAGCCAGGACGCACCTGCTGGAGCATTCCACTCGCCCGAGCCAAGGCAGGGGTATGACCAGAAGCGCCGTATGGCGAGAGGCGATTGGATAAGCTTGGGACTGCCAAGGAGAGGAGAGCAAGGTGGTGAGGAAGAAGACAGCTGGAGATCACAGGCAAGAGGAAGGGAACATGGGGAGGAATACCAAGGGGGACGAGGGTTACCGCGCGTGTCAAGGGCAGATGATAGGAAGGGAGAAGATCAGCAGCGGCGAGAAAGAGTAGAGCGGGGAGGGCGATATCAGGGAAGTTCGCCTGCGAGGGAAGATAGGCAGTGGAGGGAAGCCGCCAGGCGCAGGGAGGTTCATGAGGAGGAGAGGAGAAGGAGCCAGAGTCCCAGGAGTGCGTGGAGGCCAGGGCAGGCAGGAGGAGGGTCCAGCGGAGCCAGAGCTGCAAGGGAAGGGATAGAACGGGTGTTATATGGGGGAAGCTCAGGAAGCCGGGGGATGAAGGAGCGCAGAGGAGAAGTCAGCCACACAGAGCGAGGGATAACAGGAACATGGGACGTAGGAAGATGGGGCACTCAGGCGCCGCCTCGGGTGGAGGTGCCTGTGCGCTTTACGGGGAACGAGGGGACAGGCACTAACTTGAAGAACTACCTGATGCAAATTGGGAACGTCAAATACCGGTGCGATCGGGGAGGGATGGACCCCATCGACTTCTTTCTAAGTCTGCCCAACACCTTGGGAGGGGAGGCAGAGACTTTGTATCGCATGAAAATGCAGGAGTGGCTGAGGAGAGCAGAGGAGGATGGGGATGACCCAGCAACTCTGTTCCTGGAACGGTTGCACAAACAGTTCCCAGGGCACACGGCGGACAGGATCAGAGAGTTTCAGGACTTCAAACGCAGGAAAGAGGAGTCGCTGCTAACGTACTACGGGCGACTCATGAATCTGGCCGAGGATGTGGTATGTACCGATACGAGCATGCTGATTAGTAAGTTCTTGGCAGGGCTGGATGACGGGTTAGCAGGAGGGCTAAGGATGAGGGTCTATGAGTTGGGGGCAGAAGCAACGCTAGAGGAAGTGTTTGAGCTGGCTGAAAAGGTGGAGCTGGCACAAAGGCGTTATGAGGCATACCTGCCTAAAGCAGCAGAGAAGAAACGACCCACCTGGGCAGCTGCGATGATACCAGGGGCAGGAAGCGGAGAGGAGCAGCGGCAGGAAAGGAGGACAGATACTAGGACATGCTACAGATGTGGACAGCCAGGGCACGTGAAGATGAACTGCAAAAACTGTGACACATGTGGCAAACCAGGCCATCGCCGGCGGGAGTGCCCTGATGCGCCGATCTGTGAAGTGTGCGGAAAGAGGGGGCATCAACAGAAAGACTGCTATCAGAAGACGGGAGGACCAAGAAGGTCACAGGAGGACATAGCAAACCAGATCGAGAAGCTGCAAGCGCGGTTGCTGGCGATGGGAGGCAAGAAGGAGAAGGAAGCGGGCTTGTATGCAAGAGAGGGGGAAGAGGAGGAAAGGGAGGAGGAAGAACGGTTGCCAGAACACACCTTTTTAGCAATGCGCTGCCGCGAAGACATGGGACTGAGGAGTGGGGGCAAGGATGGGAGGAAGGAACACATGGTGAAGGAGAAAGGGAGACCGAAGCAGAAAACTGAAGAAAAGAGTGAAGGGGATGAGGAGCCAGCTAGGCATCCCAAGGAGCGACTAGCCAGCCAAGCGACGGTGCTGGTGGCAGAAGCAGGAACAGTGATTGTGGGAGGGGAGATAGCAAAGACTGCAATCCTAGATACAGGGGCACAGAGCGTGATGCTGGGGAAACGGCTAGCACAGAAGCTGGGACTTACGGGACAAGGGCAGCACATAAAACGGGGAATGCTGGTTATGACTGCAGAGGGAGGCGAGCCCAAGTGGCTGCCATGCACAAAGACTCTAGTGGAGATAGTACTAATGCCGGGGAGGGAAGAGCAAACCAGCATACGACTACAGTGTGGGATCTCTGACTCCGAAGACTTCGATGTACTGCTGGGGACAGATCTGATCTGGGGCGTGGGAATGACCATTTGTACATGGAAGGAGAAGGTGAAATTTCGGAAGCAGTACTGGTATCGGGGGAGCAAGACAGGAGAGTTGCCCGTACAGTTCGTCAGGCAGGAGCCAAGAAAGGCGTACACAGCTGACCAGGCAGGGATCAAGGAAAGAGGAAGAGCAGGATTAGCGAGCAAGGCTGCGGAAGCCAACGCTTGGCAGGAGCCGATAAAGCTGGTGGAGTTATTCGGAGGCATAGGGGCGGGACTGGCGGCAGCACTCAAGGCGGGAATCGGTGTGAGGGAGTGGATATATGTGGAAAAGGATGAGAAAGTGAGAAAGATGGCTGAAAATCATGCAAGGAAGCTGCAGAGGGAGTATCCGGAACTACTGGAGGAAGCAGTAATAGCAAAGGCAATGCGAGGGACATTGACTGACGTGAGGAACATCACACGGGAAGTGGTGCGGGGCTGGGGGCACGTGGACCTGCTGGTAGTAGGCTGGGAATGTCAAGCAGTCTCAAGAGCGGGGAAAGGGAAGGGATTGGGAGACCCAAGGGGAGCACTACTGGTCAACCTGCTCTGCATCATCGATTGGATCAGAGAAGGGCAAGAGAAGGTGGTGTACCTGCTGGAACACCTGGATCTGGAAGGGGACTGCAGGGAACCTGTGAGGAAGGTCTGGGAGCTAGTGACAAGGAAGCTGGGGAAGGGAGTGAGATGTGACGCGGCAAGGCTGGGGGCACGAGCTCACCGTGTTAGACGATACTGGCAGAATATCATAACCGAGGAGCAGCTGCAGAGGGAGTTGGATGGGATACGTAGGGACTGGAGCAGGACTGTGCAAGAGATCCTAGAGCCGGGTAGGACCGCAGCGCCAGTCAGGAAGGGCAGACATGAGACCCAGTGCCCGTGCAACAAGGTGGGGGCAGAACGCAGGGCGTGGCCGACATTGGTGGGGTACAAGGGGGCAGCCGGGTTCAGGGAAGAAGACGGGGTACCAGGAGAGGGCATGGTTTATGATCACAAGACTAAGAGGTGGGAGGAGCCAACGGCACTAGAACGGGAGCTGGCATTGGGGTACGGAGAGGAGATAACCAAAGCAGCAGGAGTGACAGAGCAAGAAAGGAGGAAGGCGTTAGGACAAGCGATGGACGGGCAGGTTCTGCAGTGGCTGTTGCGGCGAATGTGGAGGGGGCTGGTTTTGGGAGAGGAGCAGGAACAGGGGAGTGAGAGGGAAAAGATAAAGAAGTTGGGGGCATGGGCGTGCGTGGCAGCCAAAGAAGAGCCGAAATGGGAGGTGGGGAATGCAATGAGCGAGAAAGGGAAGGAGGCGATGCAAGAGGTACTGGCCAGGTTTAGACACGCCTTCGCATTCACGTTGCAGGAGCTAGGAAAATGCTCGGTGAAGGAGATGGAGCTGAAGCTGGTCACAGATGTGCTGGTATTTCAGAGAAAAAGGAGAATGACGCCTGGAGATGAGGACATCTGCAAGGAGAAATGCAGGGAGTTGTTAGAGGCAGGACTGATACAAAGATCGGAGTCAGAGTACGGGACATCGACGGTCGTGGCTGCACGGAAGGACCTGCTGGGGGAGGTGTTGAGCAGACGCATGTGTGGGGACTATCGAGCACTGAACAAGGTGACAGTGCCCGACAGGTACCCCATGCCGACAGCTGAGGATATCTTTGACAGACTGGGGGCAGGGGAGATTTTCAGCACACTGGATTTAAGGCAGGGGTTTAATCAGATCCGGATAAGGAAAGAAGACGTGCGGAAGACGGTGTTTCATGGGGCAGATGGACTGTACGAATGGTTGTTTATGCCATTCGGGCTGCGGAACGCATCGGCCATCTTTTAGAGAGTGATGGATAGTGTGCTGAGAGGACTGGAGTGTGCAGCGTGTTACATAGACGACGTAGTAATCTTCAGCAAGAGCGAAGAAGAGCATGTGAAGGATGTAGAGCGGACGCTGAAGGCATTGGCGGCTGCCGGGCTGACCTGCCACCCAAAGAAATGCAGGTGGGGAGAGGCAACCGTACAGTACTTGGGGTATGAAGTCAGGGGCGGGCAGATTGGGATCCAGCAGGCGAAAATTGAGGTGCTGAACAGGCTGCAGCGACCGAAGGATAGGAGCGGACTGAGAGCGGTGCTGGGATTCCTGAGTTACTACCGCAGGTTTGTCCCGAACTTTAGCAAGCGTGCGGCACCGCTGAATGGGCTCCTAAGAGAGGATAGAAAGTGGGAATGGGGGACAGAGCAGGAAGCAGCCCTAAAGGACTTGATGGAAGCAGTGCAAACAGCAACAATCCTGCAGCTGCCAAAGGCCGATAAGCCTTTCTGCTTGTACACTGACTGGAGCAGTCAGGGCATGGGGGCAATACTTTGTCAGGAGCTAGATGGGGAGGAAAGGGTGGTGGCATACGCGAGCAAGAGCTGTAATCCGGCAGAGGCAAAATACAGCTCATACCATGGGGAGGGGCTGGCAGCCATGTGGGCAGTCAAACATTTCAGAGTGTACTTGCAGGGGAGGGAGTTCACCCTCATAACAGACCATCAACCGCTGCAGTGGTTAATGACTCACCAGGGCTTGACTGGGAGAAACGCACGATGGGCAGTCACCCTGCAGGAGTATGATTTTAAGATACGGCACCGACCCGGGAAGACACTTCAACACGTCGACGGGCTCTCAAGAAACCCACCACCCTTGGAGCCGGTCCAGGTGCTGATGATGCTGGCAAAGCGAGGAGAGGAAGTGGCGGCAGAGAAGACACAGGGACCGCGGGACATATGGGAAGACACTGAGGCGCTGAGGTGGATCAGAGGGGAAACGGAGGGAGATGAACAGGTGCATGAGAGGGCAAGGGCTCGAGGAAACCACTACCGGTGGTACCAGGGGCAGCTGCAGCTGCAGTCAGAAGACGGCTGGAAGTTGGTGCCAGCGCCTGGGGAGAGGGAGGGGTTGATCGAGGAGGTGCACAGGAAGCTAGGACACTTCGGGCACGAGCGAACAATGCAACTGCTGAAGACGGGATGGTGGTGGGATGGGATGAGAAAGCAGGTGAAGGAGTGGGTGAGCGGATGTGAGGGGTGCCAGCGAAGCAAAGCAAGCCTGATGCAAGCAAAACAGGAGTTACAATCTCTGCCAAT